ATGGAAGTGAATGTAGCTTTTCGAATGAGCATCTTCATATAGTAAATTGCGATCTACTGAACTGTAATGCTTTCCTTCGCGGCAGGAACCGCTTTAGAACTAGGGTAATTAGCTTCTGAGCTTTAGCATTCCCTCCTGAAAGAAGATTAGAAACAGAAACATAGGATGCTATACCGTAACGCTCTCGACGTTGGGGCGTTGGCATTTGGTCGCGCAATGTCACATGTTTGTCTTTCCTAAATGCCCTCTTAGAAGCGCACCCAAAAAGATCAAACTAGTGTGATTCTTGTCCACGAAAATGACAACATTTGTGCGAAGTGGACAGGCAATGTAGAAGAAATGAAAGAATTTCTTGAAAATGCTAAAGTGTCTTTTGTGCTAACACAATGAGAGTCCAACGAATGCGGTAGGATAGGCGATAGAGCACACAAAGAAGGAGAGGCACACACCAGTAGTCCAAGAACGAGAAAAATGGAAGCCATCGCAACGGTCTTTCTACGGCCCTAGCGTCCTTGTTCCGCATTTTAGAGCCTGGTAACCGGAACATCTACGACATTAGAAACCAGCTCTTTCCTACACATCAAAAAGGACCTCTTTCACTCAAAACCTGCAGAAAGGACGCGGAGTTGCACCCTACTCATCCTGTGTTGGGCCTTTGTACAGATCCAGCCACCAATGTCAAAAACTTTACCATTGGTTCACTTTTTGACATATGTAATATTTCCGTGACGTTGTCTGCTTGGTCTTTAGGAACGCGTGGAAGTCTTTTTGTGTTGAGGCTTTCATTGGTTTCCTACCACAGTTGATGTATACCATACTATCGTTCGTTCAAGTCTTTTGATAAGTTGAGGGCTCAGAATTTAGTCAGCGCACGCTCCTTCCTTAGTTCACGCCCACCGATTCGTGTATCTCGCTGCGCACTACGCTCCCTATTGTGTCCCAGAATCTATAATACTACCGACCAAAAAATAAGGGTCTTATTTAAAACGCTCAATGGTTTTTTTTATATATTCCCACGCGCAAATTAGCTAGGCCTTACTGTTTCACATTTGAGCCCCACTTTTACCTGGCTGGTTTCTGCTATATGGAGTGTAACTTTATGTAGTAGTGATAGTGCACGGAGGCATCAACGGTAGTTGCCAAACTATTAAGTAGTCGAAATATTTAAAAAACGAATTTCAGGACCATCTGCAGAATCTCACCTCCGAATGGTCATGCTCGATTTCTTCTTATCCATCTCCCATCAACTTCGTGAAATTCGAGGGCGTTTGGACAAGAACGTTACGGAGCGAGAGAATATGGTGAGGTCCTCTCTGGTATGCTGAAAGCCGAAAGACGACAGATCCCTGTAATAGATCGGCTGGCTTGATCTCTAGTGCGGATCAGATGTCATTTGGATTCGAGATGTTTCAATGTTATTTTCCTTTTCTGGAAATTATTTAATCTAGGGATCTACTCAGAGAAGTCAGCTAATGAGTTCTGAGAGTCATTGTGTTGTTAACTCTAAAATCTGGCGTAGATTTTGAACCAGAGAGGAGTGCACGGCGCAGTCTCAAAGAATTCATCAGAAATACGCGCTCTTCATCTCATTATCTCGTTCCAAGCCAGAGCTTTACGTCAAGACAGAAGTTGCCATCGAGTGAACAATTATGTGATACGCTTCGTGATTTTCTATCCTACTGATTCTGTCTATTTCTCTATTTGCTAAATGCTCATTGAAGCAGACCCTCCACGAACATGCGCCCGTGTTTGACAAAGCCACGGGTTGGGATTAGGTTCCAAGAGCCAGTCCCTCCTAGAGTGAGAAGACGGGTCCCCGAATGCAAGAGCTAAAGGCGAGCATACGGCGCGCTTGAATTTCTGACCGTTGTTGTTGTGCGTGCTGCATCTATCAATCGCGGTACGCGGCTCGTGCCGTCCTCTCCCATGCACTTGCCTCTGTTGCGTCTCCCTTCGCAGCGCGTGTCTCTACTTCAAACGGCCGACCTATAAAGGAAAATTAGTGTTTTCAATAACGCCCCTCTGCTATTTCTCTCACTGACTTGACGTTACTCATTGCACTTTTTGTCAAAGGTAACACACCAACTCGATCTCGACTAGTGTCCTTGAAGACGTCGAGGAGTTTGGAAGGCGACTATCGCACATGTGTTATCAAGGAGTTTCAAGACGAAGTAGCTGAATCAGATCGTTTCAGGAAGAGTGGAAGTTCGCCGCAATGGCTCTGGATCGTCTTTGTCTGGTTATGTTCGGCATTTTACTTGTCGCTTGTGTTATCGTCGTGTTCTTCGTCAATCCAAACTATAGTCTCATCAGTGTTTCTTAGCTCAAACTTTTATACTGAATCGATTTTGTCGATAAATTTGATCTATAAATTTGAATCAAGGATTTGTAATGGTAAAAAAAAGAGCGTCTCCTGGATCACGAAAGATCTCGGAGAAAAACTGCATGTATTCTCCGCCAGGTGAGTCGATTGGTATTGTATTATGCAGTATTGAACGCCCCTTCGACCCAGTTACGATGGCGCTTCGCCTATGAAGCATTTCCCGTTGATCAATCCCTTTTTGGGATGCGGCACGCATTCTACTTCCATTTGTACATTCGTAGTGGCGTTTGAATGCGATGTGGCCTTATGACTTGCGGGGGCCAGCCGATGTTACAAGTCAGTGTTTATCCTCCCAGACAAGTCTGGTACCAATTAACCGACAAGGGATGGAAGGCTTGGTTGTCTCGGATAACGCACGACTCGGATTCGATCGCGGGACCGCGCGCATCGTAGGTGTGCCACTTACCACTACACCACCACCAATGGCATACAATACCGGATGATCATTAAAAAGTAACAGCTTAAGTTTGGTTAACCATAAGATCCGACTCGACTGCTTCCTTTCAAAGCGCATTAGTTCACTACTGCAGGTTTGCAATCTTTAAAAGTTTCATCTCTATTTCGAAAACGCCAAAACCGCCTGCGGTGTTGGCGCTTGGATTCTGCGCTCTCGCAAAGACTGTGCACAGAATGCGAGACATTCAGCGGCTGTTGTCCCTTGTTTAAGCTCACACAGCATACAGTTGAATTCGAAAACTTCTGTTCATAAAGGAATTTATTAATGAAGAAATGAGCCGCCTCAGATTCCATGGCTGATATTCCGAGATTTCTTATTTCGCAGGAGTGTAGTTTTACAGCCAAAGATCTGAAGTAGCTGAGAGGGAGGAAAATGAAAGCGACATTGTTTTTAATGGATAACTGCTGTTTTACGCCGCAGTTCGCGTTGCGAAAGTTATCACAAGAATGCTGAGTTGTGGGCAAAACTTTCGCCCCAGCCGGGATTCGTACCCGGATCTCTTGCTTTCCGGGCAATTGTGCTACCAGTTACACCACCGGGGCACCATTTCACCCCAACTCAGCTTCGATGGTGAAGTTACCATAGCTTATCAGCATTCACACGTACCGTGATGAACCGGTTGGCCGATATCGGCAGTGAACCGCAAGGCTGAGAGCTGTATTAGATGTTACCATTTCTGAGTACGAATCCCAGCTGGGGCGAAAATTTTGCCCACTGCAGCATTCTCGTGATAACGAACGACATTATTGTAACAATCCAACATTTCTCCTGAAGTAAAAATTCACTCGGTCTCGACAGATCTTTGTTCACATAGGTGGACCAGCTAGCCAAATGCTTCTCCCTGTTATGCTGGGAACAAGGGCAACCGTGTGAAGGGATGTGATTTGCAGACAAGTACCGCATTTCAGGTTTTCGGAGGAGTCGGCAAGCAGTAGAGGGATGGTATTAAGTGGAAAGTGTAGAATTTGCTCTTTAGATATTACGCGATCATGCCTCCACCCCCTCCCCCCCCCACCCCGCCCGCTCCAAAACAGTTTTGAAAGAACTAATCCAAATATTTATAAATATTCCAAATATCGACCTACTTGGCTACAGAAGAATTAAACAGCTTTGAAAGAATTCAGAGGCGAAGTCGGAATGTTGAAACGATGTTATGTGTCAAGTGATGACAGGTTTAACGACTGTACGAACCATTGCTTGCTAGAGGGTCGTATGGGCAAATCCCTTCCACCAGTAGGGGATGGGGTCACAAATTTTTCAAATCGACGCAGTGTGACGGTTGAGTTTGGATAGCTCTCAGCACCGATGCGTGGCGCATTCCAGAAATACCTCATTGCCAGTCACACTTTAAAGGAATCCTCGGAAAATCATGATTCTATCTCACCCATAATTCACTGGCTTGGGACCCATCGTTCACGATAAGAACGAAAAGAACAAAAAAATTGCATTTGTTTTGGTAAAAAAAAAAAAAAAAAAAAACCGAAAGGGCTGCTACGCGTTCAAACCGCCGGACATCTGTCACAAATGCTGGTGACAGGATTGCTTCCACTTGGTTCTTGGCGTGCCGTCCCTGGAAATTTTCTGGCTTTTTGACTTATTGTACCAACATCTCACACATCTACTGCAACCTATTCCGTCGATCGATTTATCTCTACTCACCAAAATCGCACGCTTTTAACCCGATTCTTTCATTGCGTCGGTCCGGGACGTTAGCGCTTCAAGCGACTCTTTCGAATCCCTGCTTTTGGCTCCGCCGCTTCACTACCTTCAAATGTCCATAGAGGGTGGTTTTTGCAAGGTTGTTTCTCATTGAAAAAAAAGAAAAATTATTGCATTAACATCTCACACTCCTACTGCATCCTATTTCATGCGTGAAACTCTGTGTGTTGTCTGTAGTGATCACGACTGACACGACCATGTTGGGAAAGAATGCAAGAGTTCGCCGGGAACGATTCCTTCGAGATTCACCCTTCAACTGCAGAAATACGAGTTCTTTTACGATGACCTTTTTTAAACATTTATTTCAAGAAATATTACTTTGCAGGATAGTTGTTACCGATCGGAAAGCTAATCGTAAACAATAGTAGGTGATCGTCAATAATTTTTTCTGATTCTGATTCTATTCTACTCTATATAATTAATGGATTCTCGACTATGTAATATTATCGCTTAATAGCTATTTCCTACCTAAGGTTAGGTAACAGAGGGGCGCCCTTTCCATTCCCAACATTGGAAGAAGAGCTCCCGAACAGAGAATGCCGGCTGATCATTATTGAAAGGTTTGTCATGCCAGTTGTCCTCAGAATGCTACTCAGAATTCGGTTCAGCACTTGGAGGTGCTGCAGCTGATTTCTGCATCGTTTCGATCTCGGCTTCCATAAAGGGTGGACTGGTGTATCCTGTTCTTTCAAGTGCAACACCTTCAACGGTCTCGACGGAGAGCGTTCTCAAAGGACAAGGGCAATACTGCGCATCTCTTCCAGGCTCCCCATCGCCCCCTCCCTGTCCCGGCAGTCCAGGAGCGCCTGGTTTTCCAGGTTTTCCCGCTGCGCCAGGATTTCCTTGAGGACCAGGCAAACCGACGTCAACCAGTTGACCTTCACTGCCATCTTGTCCAGGTGGACCAGGCGGCCCGCTCGGTCCTGGTGGTCCTGGTATGTTAATTACGAATTGCGAATCTTCTCCTGGTTCACCGTCGCTTCCAGGTGAACCTGGTTGGCCGTCTTGACCTGGTGGCCCCGCTTCACCGGGTGGCCCTTGAGGTCCGCCTTTCCCTCCATTACCAGGGCGCCCTCGATGGCCCCGTCTACCTGGTGCTCCTGCTTCACCGGTTCTTCCAGGTGGACCAGGTGGGCCTGCAGGACACATAATGCATTGTTGTTCAGCTGTTGTGTACTCAGTGTGTGTCGTGGCATCAAGACCATCTTCACCTGGTGTACCCGGTTCGCCTTCGTCGCCGTCGTTACCTGGTGGTCCCACGGGCCCTGGGGGACATTCTGCTCGCATCAATAAGCAGTTGCACACACCTCGTCGAAGTCGTACTTGTGAAGCTTTTGATGCCGTTGCCTGCAGTTCTTTTTGCAAGTGCGTCCACGTTTCTTCATAGTTGATCTGGAACTCGTGCTAGATTAGAAAATCATTTTCACATTCGCTAAGAAAACCAGCCATATAATATACAGATTCCTAGCTAAAGTAGTACATCCCCTGATCAATGTGGTGTAATTTTGCACAAGATATAAAAAATAGGGCTGCAATATGAACCGGAAATGAAAAAGGAGGAATATTCGGCGAGGACATTAAAATTAAGTGTTTCCTCTGTATTACAACTCATGATGTTAAGGCCCAGAGACATCGCAATCCCCGCGAAGAGAGAGCAAATGGCGAGAGAACATGATGGACGAGGGTGGCAGACACCTTGCGACGCATTTTGCGCAAAGGAAATCTAAAGCGAAGCAGTCGGTACACAGCATCTATCGACGAGGCTCTAGCGCCACTTTTCTCCAAAACTATTCAAGAGGCCCGCTGAAGTGAGACACACCTTGCTGCCGAACTGCCGTGCAACCACTTACTGCCTGTCCAGCCGAAGGATTGATTCCCTGAACTCCTTAAATGTGCCTATGCGCATGGTCACCCATAAATGAGCAAATATCAACTGGCCTCCTGTGTGTGAATTACATGTGACACAGGTTCAACTCCTTAGGAAAAAATTCATGAGAAAAAGCAAGCGCACCCATTTAAAGTTAATCCCTAGGATGGAGTGGTACACGAATCAGCGAAGAAGGAAGAACCATAAGAAATGCGCCAGAACCCGAGACACAGGTACCGCCATTCCTTGCTCCGTTGATTCCGGGAGACAATCGATTCGATCTCGAGTACGCTGTGTTCCGCCTTCACGCGACCCCTAACTCTCTCTCAGCTAAAAATACCATACCACAGATTTGCGCCACAACTTATGAATACCCTGCAGTAGTGATCAGAATAGATCGCGAAGCTGGGGACGGATGCAGATCCGACGCCGACCATCGGCCAGCGTGAGGCTCGCAACCCAGCGCGGTCGCAGGTCCGAGAAATTTGCCCAGCGCGAAATTCGCACCCATCCAAGTTATCGCTGAAGGGCTGTCATTGCCCTCAGGAGTCGCGTGGGTTCCGTCAAACCTTAGTCCGGCTTTCCCTTCTTCCCCTTCATTCTAATCGTGGAAATTCTCCTATCAACTTTTATGCTACCAGCTTACAATAGCCATCAGTGAACATTGTAATACTCCTTATAGTGGACCTTGCTCTCCCTACTCAGGAATGTCACGATTAAATATAATGATCGATTGTCACATGAAACAGGCCCAGCCATCGAAAAATATAAAATATACAGATGTCATTTTGCACGCAACAGAGAAAAAAACGAGAACGCGCGGAAGATAAGGCTTCCCTTTCTACTTGTTAATGTGGCGCACTGACGCGACTCCAAATTAATGCTGTCCTCTCCAGCTACGCTAGCGCTCCTCTCTCTGCAATCGACTAGAGAGACAAGACACGAGACGGTGCGAAGCAACTGCACATGCAGCAAGTGACAGACTGCAGCCATTATGCCGCCCGAGACACCCGCGGAGGAATATCCAAGGAGGCAGACCGTCGCACCCAGTCACATAATCACTTCGATGGGACGAATTTTGCATGTTGGCCATACACGCCACTAAGGTATCCTCCCTAAGCTACCCCCACTACGATACATAAGTTCCCCCTTTATCTTCGTACTCTCTCTAGCCGCGTGATGCCATTGAGCAGACTGCTTGCACAAATCTATTACATATATAGTATTCGCTGCTCGTGTTTGTTGTCAATTTTTGCGAAAAATTGCTCGTGAGGTACTAATTATCATTTGAATAGCTCTACTGTGAGTTGATAAACTGCGTGATTATGTTATGTAGTATTCTTAGCGCGCGCCATGATAAACTGAATCTTTCTGTACTATAATTTTCACATTTTAGCAGGTCAATTTCCGTTAATATGATTATCGCATAACCTCCAGTGGGCGATCTCACGTCTAACAAATACTTATTCTTCCATGTTCTGACCATAGCTTGCCTTTACCCACAGGAACGATTTATCAGGATGGTGAATTGGTTTCGCCGTAATCATATTTATGATGAGGCGAAAAAGTCACATGTTAACGACTTGTTAAAGCCACTTGTCGTTCCTCACACTGCGACAAACGGCCGCAGAATGCCATCTTCCAGCTGCGAGCGCGACGCACGTCAAAATCTGAGAGGCTGTTTTTAGGCGTTAGTGTACGGAGAAAGGTGCTGAACTATATATCACAACATAAAATAAACTATTATGCCCGTGCCACGTTCGTTTTGCGAACAAATGTTCATCGCGCGCCCTCGCCGTCTGATAACCTTCTAGTGCCTTACCAAGACCTGTCTATCGCATAGAGGGGATCCAGTTGTAGTGTAGCAGGCCCGATCACTTTCCCGACTCACTTCTACTAGCACGATGAGCGCGACACATGGCCATACAGGAAATGGTTAGTGAGCTGGGAGATTTCGCTTGCCTGAAATGATTCTTCACCTACTGATGCAGCTCATAACAAATCCTTGAAATCACTGGGAAGAATGGAGGATGGGTCATAATTTTGAATGAGCCGTACACTGATATCATCATGGAAGGAGTTCTGGAACGACTCGAATTCAAAGGTGAATTTAGCTGAGAGCACGATGGCCGTGAAGGTGATTGTACCACAGGTAGCAAGCACTGAGCCCAACGCTGAATTGAGGCTAATGTGCATCATCTAAAATGGTCTTCTTTGGATAATTTGCTCAAAGAAAAAGCAATTCAGAATCACGAAAATGTCACTACATAGCGGACAGTGTCTGGCAAGATCGGAATGGACAAGAGTCCATAACCGTATTCGTTGGCATCTTGCTTCTATATCTACGTGGAAGATGAGATAAAATGCCTGGCTGTAACAGGACGAAAATGCGGTTACAGCTTGTCGGGATTCGCTATACCACTCAACGCGAACGACAGAGCTGGTGTAGAAACCACTACACACAAGCAAACATATGACAGATCCCAATTGAAGCAGTCACTAAATATTAGAGTAGAAGGACAATGCTGTGTGGGATAGGCTCCAAAGGGCTATGTGCAAAAGAAGTGCAAGAGCTCTATGAACAGCAAAGGAGACCAAATTTTGTGAGTTTGTCGACTTGCACACTATCAAAAACACAAAGAAGAGTATAATTTCTATGCTCCGCAAAGCCTTGGGTTCATTGGCCCTCACTGTCTTCTAAATTAGGTCATCTGATCATCGTCGTGCGAGCTTAAAGGATGCCCCTAAAGGATACATTGTGTCGCTTAAATTATATTACTTGTGCGAAGTGGACCGGCAGTAAAGAAAAAAGGAAAAGAATCCGTTAAAGTGCTTAGGTTAAGGGCTCACACACCTCCCTAATCGGCTGTGTTATGGGAATGAGAGACTAAAGCGCGAGGAGAGTATGGGGCGAGAGAGCCCTGCAGAGGAGAGATCCGCCAGACAACGCCTGAACAGGGAAAATAAGTCTGCTAGCTGGCCAGCTACTCGCAAGCCCCAGCGCTCTATCCATTGTTCGTGCTCGACGCACGCCCAAACATTTTGTGATGTCGCCCTAAGGGTTATACTAATGAAACCGAAAAGAAGCGTTCACACGATCTCCATGCCTGTTGTGCCTTTAACGCGACCTACTTGTATCCAGCCTGCTTCTTATAGAAATATTTTCGCAACGATTAATTGTTGGACAGTTCCCTATAAAAATTAGCTCCAACTACACAAGCCCCATCCCAAAATCCGGAAAGCTTCATAATGACATGCGAATCCGTCGAGTATCCAATTGAGCTCTACCAGTACCATGTTTCTGGGGCGGATTTTTCCTAATGTCGTCCACGTAGAACTATACGTGGAGCTTACTTGATCAAATGGAATATGCTCTTCAATTTTATACTGGGAGCGTTTGACTTGACTTCGGCAAATATTAGTCCAGTTATCTTTCAGAGTCCTTTTTATTGGCGCGCAACGCCCGCCATCCCCCCGTATTACTACAAAATAAAAATGGAAGTTCCCAGTACGATTGCTCACGAAAAAGACCAGCTAGGGGAGAAATCCAGCTCAAAGCACACAGGAAAGCTTGCCTAAAAACTCGCTATTTCCGACTTTCAAAAAAAATATGCTCATTAACAGGAAATCTTCTGCGACGCACCCACAAGAGCGGGAGGAAGCTTAGAAAATGATGTCGAAACGGAAAATCACCAAAATTGACATCGAGATAAAGGCAAGACGCTGGCCATACGTTTTTCTTAATGCAGCGCCGTAGTTTTACCATTGCCCTGTGCTTCGCAGTTCTCAGACAATTGCAAGCTCACACCGCTTACGAACTTAGTACTTTCTATCAGTTGGTACAAGATCTTTCTGCAAACATATGGCCGCGTGAAGAAGAAATAGCTATTCAAATCTGGGATATCAATGTTGTAAATTTTGTTGTCATTTGGTAATTTTGTTTTCATCGATCTCAATTAATTCGTCGAAATCGGATACTCGCCATCTGGCCTGACGCATTGTCCTGCGAGCTACTGTCTGTAGGCGAGCTTCGCTGAATTTGCTCGAAAGCCCTTTTGAGAATGAAAAAAGCTCATGGTATGAAAAAATATCGAAGTTTGCAACGTCTTTCTTGACAAATTTTGAAAAATAGACGAAAACGCTTTGCATGCCCTCGGTTGGAGTTTGATGTAGCAATTCGCAAAAGAAAAGCCAAACCACTCTGTAATCAATGCATTCTAGTTGCAGTGTGTTTCAGCATCATACCATGAGAGAATGGAACGGGAAGTCCTAATCAGGGAATGGAAAGGTCTACAGTAAGAAGATTAGAAATGCTAAAACATATAGGTGCACCAGTAATTTTGCCGCACCTGTGCACCCAGTCCACTTGATGAATGGTCACTCATTTAGCCACACTACGACTGCTCTGCACTTTTATGGGCACTATTTATAACTTAATGGATGGTAGTAATGCAAAGTGGCCACGCTTACCACGGCATCGAAATATCTGGCCGTGATGCCCCTGGCAACCAAGATCCATCCATCCCGGGGTCGGTTAATTGGTACCAGACTTGTCTGGGAGGATAAAAACACTGACTTGTACATCGGCTGGCCCCCGCAAGTCATTGTATAGGCCACATCGCATTCAAACGCCACTACGAATGTACAAATGGAAGTAGAATGCGTGCCGCATCCCAAAAAGGGATTGATCAACGGCAAATTATCCTTTTCCCGCCTTTATGCCTGATCCCGAAGGCAGTAATAAAACTAAATTTCGAAGAATCACAGAGCAAGTATTCGCAAAACTAGATATTTATTTTCAAACTATGCAGCTTATGAGAAACCATAAACCTTCATGAATCTGTCTATGTTGATGTCCTCTCATGCAGTCTTCCACGCGATGCTAATTTCGACCACTACAGAATTCGTATCATAAATTCACATTGGTCCTTACGCACTACCGTCCACATCAGATTGTTTGCGAGATGGTGACCTTGAACGCTGCTTGCTCTCCGTGTGTGCTTTGATTTGGGTGATCCACCAGCAACATTCGCGGATGTTTTTCGCCTTCGTGCACTGACAGCTTCTTCTTTTGAGAAAACAGGTTCTGTTCGTAGTATTTGTCTGTAGGGAGGAAGTGCATACTGTGTTGAAGGAGCTTCTTCTTGCAATCTTGTTCTACCGGGACAGGGACAGTAGCAGAAAATGAGCCCAGCATCATTTCCTGCCGGTGCCCTCCAGTGCTATTGCCTTGGGGCCAGGCTTCCGGGGTTCTCCGGCATTCCCATCATTTCTGCGGCCCTGGGACCAGGAGGTCTGCCGTTTGGAGGCTCTCGTAAGTGTTCTGCAGCCAGCACAACCGTATCCCAGGCTCTCCAGAGTGCCGCGAGTCTTGTGGCCCAGGCGTATTGACTATTCTCTGGCCAGGAGCACCCGGTTCTCCACCAGGTCCAGGAGATCCAGGACGACCACTCGCTCCTGGTTCTTCCTGTGGTCCAGGAGGGCCAGGAATCAGCTCTACCTATTCGATGCCGCCCATCCCTTTCCAAGTGTTGTCCGTCCCCTTGCTGTGCCCAGGAGCGCCCATTTTCACCCATTAGGCCGCTGGACTCCTTGAGGGCAACTGATTAGCATGCTCCACCACCTAAACAAGAGCTCCGAGTAATCCTTGTTCGGATCTCGATGTTGCCACCTGCACTGTAGCACCATCTTCTCCGTTCCCTCAACCAATTCAAGCCAGGTTCACACTGCTGACACAGGAAGGACAGCAGGAGGACCAGGAGGAACACTATCGAGTATCGACTATTTTCTTTGTTGGCGGTCACACCCTACTTTGCCTCTTTCCTCTAGTTCTGAGAAATGTTCTTTCCTACATCATTCTCGCGTCAGGCAACACTATATCTTTTCCAATTCATAAATCATCACTAAAACCACGATTTCAATACAGAATTATCAAGAGAGCAATGTGCCAAATTCCCAACTATAAAAAAGTTAAAGGGTGGATGCCTTTATCGTCAACTTTGAGCAATCGCTCAAAAGTACCGAATCGCCACTAAGCACAATACGCATTCGAAATCATTGAAATTGAATTTAGTGTTGAGAGACATTGATCACGACGGCTGAAGGGCGGTGCAGTTTCGATGACGCCATACGAAGGAAACGATTCATAAAGATCGAGCGCATCCGTGAAAGTGTGTGCGGAAGGACCACGAGGAGATAGCCAGTCCAGTTGCTTCTAAACAAGTGATTGTTGGCGCATTTCACCCAGACGAAAGGATGCGCTGGTTAACTGAAGTAAGACTATTAAAAGCACCGTCCCCAAAAACGATCTGCCTATTACTGAGATAGTTGCGAAGTGTTGTGAGTTTTGGTGAGTGTTTGTAAGGAGTTGCTGTACGTCAGCGCACTGAACTGAAGCAATTCGAAGCCAGCGAATGGAGGCAGCGATTGCATGGTGTCATCCGGACGCGAGCGGTGAACATCGTCATACGTCCGCCGTCTTAGCCGTGCCCGTCAATCCAACAAGGAGGCTTTTCCGACGCAATATCTGGCGCTTTATTTGCGCGCATTGGCGTACCACTATCCAACGCCTATTACGTTTCCTTGTGATATTCCACTACTCTAGAACGAATCTCCAACGCAAATCTCTGACTTTAATGCGCGATTTGGCGGGAATAAAGTTAAGAGACGTGCTATGTCATACCCGCGATGCACGTTTTGAGATTGCCTAACTAACGAGTTTGAATGAACTGTCAAAATCGCAGCCGTGCACTCCCCAGGTCAACCGATGACCTTGCTCTTAGACGGGGCAATTATGAAAACCAGCACACAAAATTATGCCGGAAAATCCCCTTTGTTTCCCGCTATGTCTGACTTGTAAAGAGTAATAGCTAAAAAGCTTGAACCACAAGGAAACACTCGTCTAGACGGGTGCGCAAGTGCTGAGCTAATGCGGCACCCTTTGCGTTCGCGTTTACACCGACTCCTTTTGCCACTGGCTTATTTCTGCAGTCTAACTGTAGGACTATTAAATCATTGTTAACTCACTTGAAGCTCCTTCAAATCGTGTCGCAGTTTTCCTTGGAATGAGCTCAAATCATTGCAGATGTAAACCAGGGCTCCAAAGAATCCCACGAATGAAACTGCAGTCAACGGCGCGAAGAGCTACTCGGATGAAAGCTGTGGTGGTTTCCCATCCTAAAATGTGATGAGATGTACAATGCAAATGTTTGTCAGCGAAAAGGCTAAAGTAACAGCTGTTTGCGAAGAAGACGAGAAGTACCAACAATATAAGAGCGATTTCATCATCGTAATCAGGTGGAACATATGACATTAGCAGACTGGCGGCAAGATCCATGAGCTTTGTAGCCATATAAATCGGCCAGACAAAGGCAGAGGAGTCGGGACGAAAATCCTAGAGCGGACACGTGCGAGACTGTCGAACGGCGAAAAGAAGAAAGTCTCAGCAGGTCCTATGAACACTCGAGCAAGGACATGCGCTAGCAATAGAGCCTGCCGACATCTTCTGGTAGAGCCCATCTGTGGAGCATGGGGTGAAACTAATTTGTGAGTTCTTAATTATCATCCAACGGCAAGCGTACTGAGTATTCCTGAACTTAATTAGGTGCCAGAATCATTGCCCTCTCCCTTAAACAAAAAAACCATTGCCGCGTCAATGTAGATGCAGCCGGGCGGGACCTTGCCGTCCTGCTTAGTAACCTCCAGGACCTGCCATCTAGGCCACTGCGTGAGCCGCGATCAATTACATATTTCGCCTCTACTCCGCTCACGCATCAAAAAAACGCCAGATTTGAAGACAAAGTATTACTCATCGAGCACAAAACTTCAAGACCGACTTAAAGCAAGAAAAACTAGGGAAATATCGCACTGAGGTGTCAGTCCCTCATACAGTCACCTTGCTTTATGAATTCCCCTCGCGATTCTCGAAGATACTATCGTGGCATTGGCTGTGGAACGGTCCCCACAGGTGGTGAGCGGGTGAGGGGGGCGGATTACCTGGCTAGATCTTGAAGGTTACCCAGTCGTCTGTCTTTCACCAGACACCACGAGTTTACTCTGCATTGTCCTGCCTTCTTCGTGCGCCAATGGGAGAAGGTACTGCGGCGAGCTAAGATGAGTAGAGTGGCGAAAAAATAATTTAATTACTGAATGCTATCTCAGGAAGAATATCACATGACAACTAAACGACTGATTTTTGAAGTCCCTGGCAACTAAAACGACTGGAACACACAATATCGATTCCCTCTTACTCTACAGCACACACACAAGAACAAGCGAGCGATATGAGATAGATAATGTATTGTTGGAAGTAAGAACATTCCGAAGTTTAGAGAGTATAGCCAGGCCCTATAAAAATTTCCCCCCAAAAACCTAAGCGAATGCAGAATAATGTAATCGAGCCATGGGCGGTCCTGATAGTTTTGGTAGGACGACTAAAATTTTAGGTGCCTAAGGTTACGTGCACGCCGTTTTCGTGATTTCTTGATAGTGACGCTATCTCCTCCCGAGAGTAGACACCCACATATACCCTTCTATGCCAGATACTCACCACTGGGCCTGGATCTTACCTCTAACCCGACTAGGCGATGTTGACCGAAGCTGCATTAAGAGATAGAATCCTTCCTTCAGTACCAAGTGGTCATATAATGCTTGAAGGCAAGCCCCGAAATTAGCCCAACTGGTATGAAGGGCACTGTAACTTGTACTTGTAGTGTCCTCCCCGTAAGGAAAGCGTGCCACACCCGTCGCATAAAATGCGTGGTTAGGGCACTATCGTTGAGGTACTGCAACCATCGGCCCTTCCTGCAACGCTTCGACGTCATTGATGCGGAGATCACGGCTCTCTCGCGTGTTCTTTCTTCTCTGATCGCTAAGTCTTGCCGTCGTACTACATCCGACCTTACTGGAGGTCAAGGCCTTAATTTTAGCGTTTCCGATGGCTTTCTTGCTTTCTTTTCCACTTTTAGTTCATTCGCAGTTCATCCATCACTATGGTGCGCTCTTATACACCAGTTTCATTCCAGGGTTTGCCTTTGAACGCTAGCTTGTATATTTGTTGGCCCCTGAAGGTCAACGCATTCGAGATGCTATTACGATTCCAAATATGTAGATGGTAATGCCACAAAGGGATCGATCATGCCGGATGTTTTATCTGCTTGTAATGCATATTTTTGTCCGTTCTCGTCTCGCAGTATAGATTCCATTCTGCCTCTACTTTCATTTCTATCCTCTTTCTTTCGTAGAGCTGACACAGGTTGACCGTACATGGTGATTTTGTTGATGTAATCTTCGAGGTTATAGCTAATCCTTTTAGAGAACTTCTGCTATTTATCCTGGTGCACTCTTATTTCTATTCGTAGTGAGAATTTGGAGCACCAAGCTATGGTTTTCTTTGAGCTCCTAAAAATGGCTTCGATGCTCATGGTAGAGCCATCAGGCGCGTATAAAAAGAAAGTCTGGCTTTCACTCGCGGAAAGGGAACTCAAACCGTAACTCTAATAGAATTACCATACACCGGACAAGTGCTACCATCGTTGCTGGATGGATAAAAAAATTCAACTGTAAGGAGACTTCCGAGGGGTGTCCTATGATTTTGCAACGACTACAAAACTAAAAAAATTGTCTAAAAATACGGAAAACTATTCGGATGATCTGGCTACTTGTTTGTATAGGTTTTTATAGAGGCGGTTCTGATTCTACCAGTTGCGATAGACGGCTTTTTCTAGAAGCCGAGATATTCATATTTGGGGGGTGTCCTATGATTTTGCAACGCACTGTATACCCCATTTTGTAGAAGTACATAATCATGGAAACATTCTCAGGGCTAAATTTGGTTCCACTGCAACGATAGCGGTTACCGAATACCAAATCTTGAATATCTTCTACAGAGTTAGTTCATTGTGAATCTCTGTAACCTGACAACAATGTGCTATTAGCGAACTGTTACAAGTTCCACCCCGCTCCCGTTCATTGTTGATTCCATCGCCGAATGACCTGTTTCGTTCTCGAATGCCTCATATAAAACACGGCTTTCTAATGTGTTACTTGGCGTCTACTGTTTGCTTTACTTGTCTCTAAACCAGCTGTCTCAAGAGACACAAGCACCCTGTTCCTTTTCAAAATTCTCTCGCTTGGTTTTGGTTTCAAGAGGCAAACCTAAATGTGACAAAATAATTTTACCAGTTGATTTTGACTTGCTTTTGATTGTTAACTGCTGTTTTTGGGCCATTCTGAGCTGAGTTGGAATGAAATGGTGCCCCGGTAGCGTAACTGGTAGCGCACTTGCCCGGAAAGCGAGAGGTGCGGGTTCTAGTCCCGCCTGGGGCGAAAGTTTTGTTCACAACCCAGCATTCTTGTGAAACATTATGGGAATTTTACCAGGTGTTTATTGCAGAGCATTCAATTATTCTAAATACATAGAGATTTTACACATAATATTACAATTCTGAGCTAAATGACGTGAATGGCAATGACACAAGATTTATTTTTAGTATTATCCTTGAAACCTTGTACCGGGCCTTGACTAAAAGGTCATTAACGTCTCGCTCATCTGCCGCGTATTTCTCTTACTGAACTCTCACACCCAGTGACCACCGGGTGGATCAGGAATTCCTCAAACATGGCTCTGTACGTGAGAGAGTAGTGCCGAGAGTGAAAGTACGCGAGGAGAGTACAGACGGCTAGCGCATGGCGAGTGTGAATGCCCGTGCGGCAAAACGTAAGTGATCAGGGAAAAATTCTCGACGTGCCGTTGAGGAGACCTCGACGGATATTCACCCTGCCCACAACTGTATGCTTCTTGTCGCTGTGGACGGCTCGCATCTGAATATCTATATTTCATGGTACTGACTTTTGCTCGTCTGCAACCATAGAAATAGGAGATGCCTCACTTGTTTTTCCCCTTAATTCTTCATTTGCGAGCTAATAAACAGCTACTTGTCTCGCTAAATGTACTCTGACCTTAAGCTTGCAGATGATGGAGCCAAGTGGAGGAGTTCGGTACAGTAATCGCGTCCTCATCGGTGCTTATGCGAGCATAAGCGTTAGCCTACTGGTCGCCATATGGATTTCCTTCGATATTCTCGCCGATGTCAACGATTTTCAAACACAAATGGAGGAAGATTTTAGAAAATTCAGAGTGAATATTGACCGGTTACTGATTTTCTAATCATTGCCAGAAGGTTCATACTTTTATCTATTACTGACTCGATTTCAGATCGATGCCAATGATTTGTGGAAAGAAGTACAGCAGAATCGAGCTGGAAGCTCTGCATCTTTGACATGGCGCAGGGCAAGGAGTAATCCGTCTTATATTGTGACTGGAGAAGCCCGAACTTCCCAATGTTCATGCTCACTAACATCCCATTGCCCACCTGGACCCCCTGGACAACCAGGACCTGATGGTATTCCCGGTGAACCGGGTCTTCCAGGTGACGACGGAACACCTGGAAACAGAGGAAGCAATCTTCTCTCAGGGGGTGTTAACGGCTGCATTAAATGCCCTGCTGGACCACCAGGACACCCTGGAGAGACTGGACCACCTGGTCCATCTGGAAGTCCTGGATCGCCCGGCCTCCCAGGTAGTAGTGCAGCTGCGGCAGCTCCTGGTCCTGCAGGACTTCCTGGACCAGCAGGCATACCTGGTCGTCCTGGAGCTCCTGGTCTAGATGGTATGCCTGGAAATAGTGCAGAAAGGAAAATGAATCCTGCTGGACCACCAGGAGCACCAGGGCCGCCAGGGAGTCTTGGTCTTCCTGGCCTTGATGCACCTTTTTCAGCTCCCCCTTCAGTTGGTCCAGTGGGGCCACCAGGAATCCCTGGAAGGCCTGGCACCCCGGGATTAGATGGTGCACCTGGTCCTGCAGGTTCGGCTGGTGTTCCTGGGTCAGATGCAGCGTATTGCCCATGCCCCAAAAGGTCAGATCAGGAAGGATATCTGGAGCCAGAGGAAAGCATCGACGGAGTTCACAGCTTTGTGGAGCGCATGATGCCAAAACCGCCAGTTGGAATGAGCGAGGACGAAAAAGCGTCCATCAGGCAGCAAGCATTCATACTGAAGTTTGATCAGAGCCATTGAGCAGTATCTGTTTTGAGTAGTGACTAGTTGTAGTTTGCGGAAATTGTTCAGCCTAAGAAGCTTATATGGGTCATCTCCCAAGAATGTCTGAAATAAATCCTTCATTTTCTAGAAAATTCTTTCTCCTTAGACGCGACACTGTCAAAACTGTAAAAAATTTTCAACGAAACTAAGTTTTTAGTCTGCAAAATACGCCTAAAAGCATGTCATTTCTTGCAGACGCGAGTTTTACTACGCTTTCGAGCGACAGAATAAGCACTTTACAGTATTAAGCCTGGGATATATCGGGCACTCAAGCGAGTCGCTAAGGACGGTATCATGACTTCCAAAAATCGTATGATGTTCAGGTTTTGAGGTCATAAGAGGTTGAGGTTTTTTTCATAAGAGGATAGGAAACTGTCAACTGACGAAAACAAGGAAAACTAAATTGTGAGTACTCGATTTTCAGGCAGTAAATGTGATTCTGGTGATGACGCAGATTGCTTTTGAACGTAATGTAAAATTACTGCGTCTAATTGAATGCCGTAAAATGATAAAACTCTCCGCAAGGTCTTCAATTAAAAAGCTCATACGCAGCCCTGCTTTTCTTGAGATTCTATAGAAGCAGTGGGTCTCCCTAATTCGATGTGACTTACCAATGCACACCTTTACCCACTTTTTGGCCCAGTTTCGAGGTTGTTTTGTCACTGAAATCGAAATCTTGGTCTTCGGTACAATTCATTTCGACGCACGCCACGCCCTCTGTGGGCGGGGCTCCGCTTAGCTGATGTGTGTTTTTATACTTCTCGAGACCTGGGCCACCCAACCCACACTTGACCCGGTCTCTCCAGGTGAATCCCCAGGAGCTAGGGAATTTCGTGACAGACATACAGACGACAGACGACAGACGACAGACGACAGACGAAGCGCTTTATAGTAAGTAGGATCCCAGGCACGTAGCTATTATACAATAGATATGTTCACATTCTTTTGTAGCTCTTTTAGTATAGAAGCTAGGGAAGTTCTAGTTCTCGAAACATAGGTTTTTCAGGGAATTCTATTCACAGAGAAATGTATTGGGGCCTCAGTAATAACGGATCGTCGCTGTATAAACTTCGCAATGTTACCCTCATCAGATCCCCCACGTTCTCGTCGGATTCCGCCAGATCTGGCAGATTCTTCACTATCACCTTCATACTCTTCAGCAGTCGCTGATGATCATGCTAGCCGTCTAGTCCAACTCGATTTCCCCTCCACGGCTCCTCCGTCGCTGATCCTGCTACTGATAAGCTCGCGTCGTCAGTTCCTGGTTAACCCAAGGCAACTATCCAATTATTCATTCTGCCACTATTTTTCGTCACCCCTACATCTGCTCATGCAGGTCAAGCTGAAAGACCGCTGTGGTCCAAGACCGAATTCCAATACTCAAGATCTGCCAACAGTTTGACGAGCCGCCAACCGAGCTAGAGGACGGCCTCCCTCGTGCTGTTCTCTGTCTTGATGCAATGAAAGAACTGTATTCGTCACAGTCTGGTGAATGACCAAGCGTGCGTTGAGGATTCCTCGACAGGTCGGCAGGGGGTCTCCGCCGGGTGAAGGGGTCGTAAGTGCTGGGATATGCAATTAGCAACAGTGGCCTCTCAAGAGGAGTTGAAGGTGCTGTGAGTGATGAGATTAATTTTATTTATGTTTTGATTTATGTTTCAACATGTAAAATAAATGTGTTGTTTTAAGCCTGAATTGTTCCCTCTTCAGAGTAAATGCCCAATCGGAACGAAGTTGTTCAACTCTGTTAGCGACTTCGAATTTGAAGGATAGAAGCACACGGCGCATCCCAGAAAGGGGCCCAGTGGTTGCGCGCGCTTCAACTACGGCTCTCTGGAAGAAAAATCTCAATTCAGGAAAAATCAAGAGGATTCTGAAAGGGGCGTGTAAAATTGACAGGAGGAACTTACTATTCAACAAAAATTACGGTTTTTAGCGCCAAATTTATAAACACATATTGGCTGAATGATGGAATTTGCTATACATTTTTATATTGTTGGAAAGCTGAACTCTTGCGAACTTCAATTTTTAGCCCGGTCCATTGGCGCGATATGCGATGACACTTGACTCTACACCATACAAACTCCCAGCTTCTTCACCCAAAATGACCTCTACTGTCATCAACTCTCGCTTGCTCGTTTCGTGCCACAAAACTATTAGAACTGCTAGCCACTAAAATCAACAACAACACATGAGACTTGAAAATCACCTTCTGAGTGCAACCCACACCGACCGGCAGACCGCCAGCGCTAGAAGGAGCTGTGCTCCTGATCTAGGGACTCCCTTAAGTGGTTTATTATCATCAGAGAAAAGATTATGGAGCCTCTTTGGGATACAACTAGATTAGGCGACTGGAGTGAACCATGTTCGAGGAAGAAGGGTTAGTTTCAAGCACATAGGATTCAGGTTAAGGCGAAATTGCCAGACAAAGGTGCAACGGTTCAGAATGCACACATGGCTCCATCCAACATCCAGGGTCTCGCACAAGAATCGCTTTTCTGGTTTATGTCCACTTTCATTCGCATCCATGCTCTGTTGTTTCAATTTCTTTTCCCTATCTTCGGCGCCCAGCATCGCCTATCTCGCTGCCTGCCTTCTGTAATCCTTCACTACCTGGGCGAGAGGCTCTCATTTTCAGCGTTTCTGGTGGTTTCTCTTCATTTTTTTCACCACTAGCGGTCTACTTAGCACTTCGCAATATCGAGCCTTCTCACCCTCCCCCTGCCCCTCCCTACAACGATTTGAGGATGCCGTTCAAACGTCTAAGGAATGAAGCCCAAATGGATGGGCGTGAGGACCACAGGAGCGCTAGCTGCCACAAGTGCGTACCACCAGAGTGGTGTCAAATTGTTAGGGGTAGTATGGTGTAGTGGCTTTTCAGCACAGCACCGCTATTACTCTTAAAGGCGAGCCCCGGGATGAGCCCCATTGGTTGGAGCCATATCGCGAATGAACGTGTTGGGTCCGTATCTACAGGAGTCATGCAATTTCGCTGCAGAAAATGCGTAGTTACGGCGCTATTTGTTACGGAGCTGCAACCATCGCAACGCTCTCCACCCCCGCGATTGAGGCAGAGATCGGCGCGCTTTCTCATACGGCGTCCTCTCTCGTGTGGTTTTACTTCCCTGGTTTACCCTTTCCGGACCGCGCACTTTTGCCGTGGCGGGCGCGCGTGCTGCGCGGCGAGCATAAATAAATATATTCGACCTGTATTTCCACTGAAATCATTACTTTGTCCCGTTTTTGTATTTGTCATTCCTAAGAGTATGTAGTGAATATGACAGAAAACCGTGTATAATAAAAGTGATAGGGCCATAAAAAGGGAGGCAGGAATGAAAATTGTTCAAAATAAGTTGTAATGGGGAAAAGGGACCAGAAAGTGTCCGAAACGTTTGGATTTAATAGCATCAGATACGACATGCACGTGGTGTCATAAATTCTGTTGTATGAAGAGTTTTCAAATGATTTATAACTGTTTTCGCTGAGCTCAAAGTGGGTCCGGAAAGGGTTAAGCTGTCTCCCTGTCGTACCACGTCCAACCTTATTGAAAGCTGGGGCCCTTAATTAGAACATTCCGATGGTTTTTATTGCTTTTTAAGACATCGAGCCCAAGACTTGCCTTTAACGGCTTTTCAGATGATCCAGGTGAAAGCGAGTCAATCCTCAATCATTTGGGCTGCAATTATTCAGAACCGAGTAAGCTTAGGTGAAGGAGAAATAAAAGGTAACGAGTAAGTTGTTGGAGCTAGAGTAAAACTCCAACTGCTTATTGATAGCCAAAAACCCAGTACCAGCCATAGCTTTGTTTTAATGCGATTGTGTTGCCCTGGTCGTACTTGGGGCAACGCTGAGCCATCGTCGAGCATTTCTCGACGCGCGAAAGAGGTAGGGTGATATCCTGCTCTAGAAATAGGGGATATGGATAGAATTCTTGACTGGATTCCTGGAAATGGTAAACATGACTGAGTGAGTGCCGCAAGGTTTTTGGAAAAAGTTTTTTGTTTTGCGAAGACTTCCTTGAAAATCTGGAAACCTGTTTTGAAAATTTGAAAGCAGTCAGTATGATAAAGTGAACGCAAAGTCAGGCAGCAGTATCGCGGTAAAACTACTACTTGCAATACTATACGTGCAAAGGTACAGTTAACTCAAATCCCAAAAACCGCTCCGCCTTCAGTGTGGCTAAGCTTATACTACACAGAAGTCGTCTCAATGAATCTATTCAGTGGCAGGCGCAGCGGCTAATATCGCGCGGGTTAGTTGAGCAGTGTAGCAGGCAAGTTCGAGCAACTCGTACGGCCCCGCCCACTTTTTTTCAAGAGGAAATTTCGTTTTGGGCTCAATCGACGATTTCCTTTGCTTCTTATTTCATTTCAACTCGACACAACTCTGTTATCGACCGCTGTGACCCCACCAATTCGATCTCAGGTGTTGCTTTAATAATGTTTGTGATGTCGCTATACTTTTCGTGTTGCGGGTATCATAGAGATTTATTTTTTTTGTTTGTTTGTCGTGTATTTTTATGTTGGCGAGGACATGATGAGATTGGTTTGCGCGGATACAGTCACTATCACTCAACTGCCACTGCCCAAGCCTAAACTCGTCCAAAAGCATGAAGCAGAGGGAGAGCATCAGTTTCTAGTTTTGCAGTTTATCTTAGTTTATTCCCTGCTCCATCATTCCGCTTATTCCCCACTGTTCCCCACAAAGCTATGACCAGGGTCCTGCTACCTCATTCCCAGAGATAACTCTTCTAAGAATCTGATGGAGACCCGCGCCATTGAAGGAGGGTACAGAGTACTGTCGGGAACGATTGAAGGAGGATTCCACGATGAGGTCGAAGGTTCAAGAAGGGGAAGTTCTTAAGCGGAGAAACAGGCGGGCCTCCTGAGAGTGCGGATCGACACGCAGTCCGCATCAAAGGATATGTTCCCGGCTATCTATCCTCTCCCGTTAGCTCAGTTGGTGTGCTACTGGACCGGTAACCCACCCCTTGCGTCGTCTCGTGTCTGAGACTCAAGCTGTTCAGCAGAGAGCGATGGCTTGAGAGGGAGCACCGATGAGAGTTGTGCGAAATCGATGGGCAATGAGGGACACCGTTTCTTGGGTTCTAGGTTTTTTACTGGGTTTTCTTCTTTCATGTATTGCTGACCATCTCATCTTTCAGTAGGCTACCTTTTTATCGTGAAATCCGCTATTAAGACAGTACTTTTCACCAGGACACGGGAGGAGAGGGAGGCTGGAGCCATTCGTAAGACCTCACTTGGGCCGGTTTTGGCTTTTGCTCCCAAACTTCCTCGATACGTGGCTCATCCAGAGAATCCTGCCCTTAGTGGTAGTTCATCCCAATCACTAACCAGTAAGGCCTTTCAGGGGGTGCTAAGCTTTTTCGAAACGGTCTCTGCATGATATAGGGGCACATGCGGGAACCACAGAACCATGGTTAATTTTTCCTGAACGGCCCTCTGAATACCAGAAAAGGGGGTCCCTAGTTCGATTCCTCGTGGTGACAAATTTTTGCATTTCGAGTTGACGTTTCAAAATTCGCGCAAAATGGAGTTAGCATGAATAATTAGTACCATATTCATGATTAGGACCGTCAGTAACCCTTACAAATAGACTTTGATTTAAAAAACTGGTGAAAAAGGTGTGACACCACAGTGGGGCTGTTCAGGTGTCACAGCTTTTTCTTTTCTGCCGTGCGGATCATAACCCCAATAGCGCTCGGTCTAGTCGTGACGCGCCCAAAGCTTGGTACTTCATTGCTCCACCACTCAAATCTTGAAATGGTAACAGTTTGTGACATGAAATGTTTATTTCTGCAATTCAAGGCCTATACAAGTAATAGCTGTCTCTATAAGGCTCGTCCTGTTTCCTTCTCATGCAGTGCTTCTCTGAGCAGGCCCACGCTGGTTTCGATCATTCGAGTTCCCTCCATTAGCGGTGCTCTTGCGATTTCGTCGTCCAACGACACGGATGTTGTTCCGAGAGGAATAGACACGGACCCTGCCTGCTCCTTGCCTGGAACTATACTGCGCAGCAACTCCTCTTCTACCACCAACGTTTTCAGGGGTCCTCACCGGTTTGTCCATGGGAGGAACGGCAGGTGGATGTATTTGTTGATTATAAGTTGGAGGCATTTGTTCGGCTGGGAAGACGGGATGCTCTGCCACAGTCGAACTCTGCGTTACCTTCGCTCTCACGGCGTAGCGTTGTGCTGGTGGAGGCCCGCTATTTTCGGGTCTTTCCCTACGACCTTCTCCAGCGCCTGCACTGTATGATCCAGAGTTGCTTTTCGATGCTACCTCGGCAGAATACTTGACTGGAGGTTCATTTTGTGATTCTGTTCTAGGAGGGCATGGACAATAGGCAGCGTCGTTTCCTGGTCCACCGGACGTTCCTTGTGAGCCGGGTTCCCCGGGCTCTCCAGGCGCTCCATCTTTTCCAGGTGGCCCTGGTGGACCAGGTGGTCCTGCATTTGGAGGCTGCTCATAGTTGTCTTCTCCCACCGATCCCGGCTCTCCAGGAGGGCCTGGAGGTCCCTGGGGCCCAGGAACGTTGACTATCCTCTGACCAGAAGCACCAGGTTCTCCATCAGGTCCATTTGCTCCAGGTTGACCGCTCGCACCTGGTTCTCCTGGTGGTCCAGGAGGTCCAGGAATCAGCTCATTATTTGAAGCACCGTCGTCTCCAGGTTGCCCATCGTTTCCTGGTGGCCCAGGAGGGCCATCTTCACCCATAGGCCCTGGAGCTCCCTGAGGGCAAGTGATACATGCTCCACCACCCTCAGAGTATCCTTGTTCTGAAGCTCCGTGTTGCCCTGGCACTCCATCTTCTCCGTCCTCACCATTCAAACCAGGTTCACCTGGTGGACCAGGAGGGCCAGGAGGACATTTGGTTGGCTCGCTTCTCTGCGCATAGGAGTCTTGTCGTTTTGGTCTGTTTTGAACGTTTCTCCTCATCAGTTGCCAGGCATTCTCTCCAGATCCCTGAAATTCAGTGCTCATAACTCAACTATTCCAAAAAATAGGAATTTTTGGGATTTTTTGTTCAGGGTTAACCAATTTCTTGAGGATGAGCTTCGAATTGATCCAGGACTGCAACAGATTCTAGTTTGTTTTGGGCAATGACCAGTGAGATCTGGCAATATATACAGGTCGGTCCTATAACCCTTCCACCTACCCTGGCACCAGCAAACCTGCTATTAAAGGGAGAGCTCATTTGGCTCGGGCTGGATTCGGTCCGTGGCCACGTATATCTGAGGCACTTCTTTCCATCACAATTAAATTAAGTACCATTAATTATTAGTCTTATAGCTCACCTGAAGCTCTTCCAACTCAAGGCGCAGCTTTCCTTGAAATGAACTTAAGTCATTGCAGATGTAAACCAGTGCTCCGAAGAATCCCACGAAAGAGACCGCTGTCACACCAAAAACGATCGGAATGAACGTAGAGGAAGCTTTCATCTGTAAAATCGAAAATAAGTTAAGGTGAAGAAATAGCCAAGGTGGGAAATGGGGTCTATTCCAGTTAGGAGGGGCATCATGATGCAGTTTCGGCGAACTAGTGTGAACTTGAACATTCCAGCTTTTCACGCATGTCAAGTGACTGCCCTCACCCCCACCCCCGTAGACTGGCTACACTCCCCTGGCTCGGAGTTACCCTAGCTTTCTGGAAAAACTGCATCATGATGCCCCTAACAAGGATAGACCCAGAAAATGTTATGAGAATGATATGGGAAATGAAAACAATCAAATCTTCGAGAGCACTCGCATCAATTCACTTCCCGAGCGGGTCTGGCCCACTGGTCAGTGGCGCACTGGGCTATACTCGCTGGAAACAATACCTAGAGGACAGCAAAACGCAGCAGAATGCCAGAATAATTGGAGAACTCAGAAATAAGCACAGATAAATCGGCTGATCCTGCGACAACTGTCGAATTTGTGCAGTCCTGCAATCACGTCCGTGGACATGCCTACTCTGGGCCGCACCTGCATGGCCAGTCCTTCAGCACCCCCTTGTTTCCATCAATATCATCGAGAATATTAATGATGCCAAAAGCGTCTGAGGTGTGGGGGGGGGTGACCACGCGGCAGCACTGTCTCTTAAGCGTGCTGGCACAAAGTGTGAGCATAGGAAGGAGTAACCTGATCGTGTACAGTGTGATTTGTGATCTCGCAAAACCCACTTTTGGCGCTTTTAAACCTCTTTCCTAGACAAGACCGCTGTCGTTTTGGGTCAAAATGAGTCTTCTATAGTTAATTGGGTTCATACATGAAGGGTTCGATCTAAAGAGGTTTTACAGCGGTCACTCAACTGTTTTTCATCTACCCTTGTGCAGTACAACCACAAAAAGATCAATGCATGAATCAAAAACTGCAGTCACAGCGTTAAAGCCACGAGTCAGGATTACGCAACCAGCAGAAGTTCTTTCCAGGGTGCGAATTTGGAGAAAGTGTAATATGTTCTTGTTTTGGGTAGGAAATAACTGGAAACTACTTATGGATTATTTAACGAGTTAGTGAATATTCTTGTTGAATTTTCATCTCCAGACAAGTGTTCAGAGACAAAGGAGAACAACTACTATTTCTGAGAGAATTTCTTCGCATATGTGATTTTGTCCTATCAGCTAAATGTACACTTGTCCTTCTATTCATCGTAAGGCAACCAGCAGAAGTTCTTTCCAGGGTGCGAATTTGGAGAAAGTGGAATATGTTCATGTTTTGGGTACGACTAAGGAGCATATCAACTATTATATTT